TTTATATTTGCCTCATACTATTTGATATTGCCCCACAGCTCTTACATGCTTTGTTCTATTTTGTTTTTTTTTTTTACTTTTTTCCGTTTCTACTCTTATGGTTTTCATCGCTCTGCTGAAATTCCACATTTGTTCCTGCATGATCGACTTTTTTTTTTTTTTTTTTTGAGACAGGGTCTTGCTCTGTTGCCCAGGCTAGAGTGCAGTTGCGTCATCAGAGCTCACTACCACCTCAGGCTCCTGGGCTGGAGTGATCCTCCTGCCTCAGCCTCTTAAGTAGCTGGGACTATAGGCATGCTCTACCACCCTTGGCTAATTTTTGTATTTTTTGTAGAGGTGGGGTCTCACTATATTGCTCAGGCTAGTCAGCTAGTCTTGAATTCCTGGTCTCAAGAGATCCATCCGCCTTGGCCTCCCAAAGTGCTAGGATTATAGGCATGAGCCACTGTGCCCGCATAGCTTTTTTGGTTTGTTTTTTTTTTTTTTTTTGAGACAGAGTCTCGCTCTGTTGCCCTAGAGTGAGTGCCGTGGCGTTAACCTAGCTCACAGCAACCTCAAACTCCTGGGCTCAAGCGATCCTTCTGCCTCAGCCTCCCGACTAGCTGGGACTATAGGCATGCGCCACCATGCCCAGCTAATTTTTTCTCTATATTTTTAGTTGTCCAGATAATTTCTTTCTATTTTTTTTAGTAGAGACGGGGTCTCCCTCTTGCTCAGGCTGGTCTCGAACTCCTGAGCTCAAACAATCCGCCCGCCTTGGCCTTCCAGAGTGCTAGGATTACAGGCGTGAGCCACTGTGCCCGGCCCCGCCTAGCTTTTTGATAAGAGCCTTTAATGTGTTAATCATAGTTATTTTATATTCCCTGTTTGATGTTTTCAATATCTGGGTCATCTCTAACTAAGTTTGGTCACTCTTGATAGTGGGTGGTTTTTTTTTTTTTTTTTTTTTGAGACAGGGTCTCACTCTGTTGCCCAGGCTAGAGTGCCGTGGCATCAGCCCAGCTCACAGCAACCTCAAACTCCTGGGCTCAAGTGATCCTGCTGCCTCAGCCTCCCGAGAAGCTGGGACTACAGGCATGCGCCACGGTGCCTGGCTAATTTTTTCTATATATATATATTTTTAGTTGTCCAGATAATTTCTTTCTATTGTTAGTAGAGATGGGGTCTCGCTCTTGCTCAGGCTAGTCTCAAACTCCCGACCTTGAGTGATCCACCCACCTCGGCCTCCCAGAGTGCTAGGATTACAGGAGTGAGCCACCATGCCCAGCCAGTGGGTGGTTTTTCTTGCTTTTTTTTGTGTTGCTTGTGATTTGTTATTGATTGTTAGACAAAGTGTGTAGAACAGTAGAAATTGAGGTGTATGATATTTATTCTGGAAAATGGGTACACCTCTTCTTTTGCTAGGCTGGTAATATGGGAGTTTGAGTGCATTAGTCAGGAGATGAATTGTGCTTGGGTTTTGTTGTTGCTATGGTTAACTTAGGTGCACCAATGGCTTCAAATTCCTCTAGTGTTTTCTGGCCAGTTTAGGATTGATTTGCTGGAAGGAGGCTTTTTCTCAATATTTATGCTCCACCCTCAGCTTTAGGTCTTCTTTTTGCACCTCTGCCTCAGTGCAGTCTACCACAGCATTAGCGGTAAACTGCTGTTGCTTGTTCCTGGGTGTTTGCTAACCCGCTGAGGAGGAGCAGGGGGTTTCTCTAGTGTCCTTGTTCAGCCTCAGCCTTAGGCAGACCCTGTTTCCTTGGGTCTCGGGTGTATCTTTCTGGGTGATCCTGCTATTCCTCCAGAGGTAGGACACCACTAAGGGTCTTGACCAGAATTTCCTGCCCCTCCTCTAGGAATAGAGGGTTTTTTTCCTTTTACCCTGCCCCAGTTGCCTTGGGAGTGACAGAGTTTGCTGCCCTTTCCCCAGGGTGTTATACGTTTTGGCCTATAGAGGAGAAAGGTCCTTGTATTTTTCCTCTTCCAGGCCAGCACTACTGAGAGAGGCTTTTTCTGGTCCGCTGTCCAGTATTTCTTGTGAGCACCCACAGAGATCTCTGGTTAAAAACCTCTTGAGTGTCTGTGGCTCATGCTAAGCCGTATTTGACATTTGGTAATTTGTTAAAATTGTACCTGAATTCTTCTGACCCTCCTGTATGGTGGGTCCTATCTTTTTCCACTGCCACACGTGAGTTAGAGCTTGTATCTCTCTCTCATTGGAGGTACCTGTCTTTTCATCAGTTTCAGTCTAATTGGTTACCCTGTAACCTTAGCTTTCTGATGGCTTCAAGAAAAGTTATGGTTTTATAGGTTCTCTAGGATTTTTTGTCATTGGAATGAGAGCGATGCCTTCTCCAGCTTCCTACATCTTCAGTGGATACTAGAAGTTGAGAACTTTTCATTTTATCCTAGATTTTATCTTCCAGTAAAACGAGTTTACCTCTCTTTTTCGCTTCCTCTCTTCCTTGTTTTCAGAATTTGTCTTTCAGCAATGTTAACCCCATTGAGGAAGGCCTCACATTTTATAGAAGTTTTATTGTCTATAATTTGTTGCTCACAAAAGATCAGTAAGACTGTTTGGGAAGGTAGCTGTTATCTTACTCTTACCTCTGGAAAAGCTAAAGGTCAGAGAAGGGTGAGGTACAGGTGGCTGGTGAGCTCTAGTCTCTTTGCCTGTGGGGCTTCTGATCTCATGTCCATCTCATCTACATGCTGCCATACTGCGTGGTTGTGTGTTCCTTGAGGGCATGGTCCATACCAATCTTGTTCACTGCTGTGAACCAACACAGAGCCTGGCATGATGTAGGTTCTTGGCAGATTTTACAGAGATGTGTGATGTGAGGTTTAGATGTGTAGGGGAGGTGAGGGGTGGCCTTGAGGTTATGTGGCCAAGCCAGCCTGGGACTCATTCATTTGCCCTCAGGGAGCGGCTGGGGTTACCTTACCACTCTGTTCTCTGGTGTTTAGCAGAAAGGTAGGGACTTTAATTACTTGTGACCAATGACAGGCTATTGATGACAGTTGCATTTTGTTGTTGGCTAAAAAGAAAGAGACTTCATCTTCCCTCAGTTGTATGTGACTCTGCCTCTCTCCTTGGCTGAAGGAGGAGTCCTTGTTAACATTCCAGCAGGAACCTTATGTCTCATTCAGGTGTGGGGCAGTGACTGTGCTCGAGTTCTCTAAAAAAAAGGCAACTGGGTAGTTTTACCAGTGTGTCAGACAAACTTGATAAAGCCATTTCAGACAGCAGTGCCGGGTTGTACAAGTACAAAGGGAATGAATACCTAGTAGCCCCAGACCCTGGTACCAGCTGGGATCTGATGGAATAGAGGAAGCTGGAGTGGTCAGTGGAGTCGGGTCAGGTTTCTCTGCATGTCTCTGTGTTGAGTTGGGTAGACAACCTAGGTCTCTTTGCACCTGACTCTTACATGAGCATATAGGCTTCCCAGCTGTTTACTGGTTTTGTTCCTATGCATGCCTGGGCTCACCTGACAGACACGTGAAAACAAATGTGTTTCCACATGCCTGCATAGGGAAACCTGCATGGCTTGGTGCCAGGAGTGAAAGGAAAAGTGGTGCTGCCTTAAAGCTGTCTCGTCTAAGCAGAGGTAGGCTGCCTCAACTCCTCCGGGACTGGGGGAAGGCTTACTGGTGCCCCAGAGGAGCTTTTTCTTTTGGGCTCAGGTCCAGACTCCGGAAGGGGTTTGGGATAGGTAAGGCAGGAGTCTTGGGTGGAGCATGTGGAGATCGGAGTCTTCCCTGAGAACTCCTCACTCTGGTGTGTCTGTGGTTCCTTTGCTCTGAGCTCCATGAGGCCAGGTTCTGGCACATACAACTTTGTTGAGTAAATGAGAGACTTCTCGGAAGATGAGGTACTGATCCTGGTCTTAGCCCTGGTAGTTATCCCTGTGACCTTAAAGGACTGACTCCTGAGTGGGAATCAAACGGCCCACCAGATTGCTTCCTCTAGCAGATGAGGAGGGATCAGGGGATCTGAAGCCTGCATGGCACAAGAATTAAGGGAAGGAGAAGATCACGCTGGGTGTAGGGTCGGGAAGTTGCTTATCTTCCTTTGACAGATTCGGGGTCCTTCATAGGTAGGTTAATGTGGAATCCAACTTCCTTGACGTTTCTGGATTGGCCCAACTAATCCAAAGGTGGTGGTGGGGGTGGTGTGTGTGCCATCTCTAACACCGCATCTATAGATAAGAGAAGCCTTGTAGTCTTGGTTGGGTGGCAGGACTCCTGGGTCCTGTGCTGGGAGAATCTCTTTGCAACCCCAGATAGTAGTGAAGTCAGGAGCATGCTGAGGGGTATGTAATCCCTTTCTTTTTGGTAGTTTGGGGAAAGAAAGATGTTGACTGGACAAGCAGCAATGTGGGGCCAAGCTGAGTGTTGTGGACACGGTGATTCCTAGGCGTGTATTTTCATGAGGGACCTGTCCTTGATCTAGACTCTGTCATAGTGATGTGCTCTTGTCTCAGCATCTTCCTGGCCCTTCCCACAACCTACTGATGTTCTTTACCCGTGTGAGAGTAACTGCAGATGTCTCCACATGTGGCTAGACACTGCAGAAGGCTCTGTTTATCTTTGGTTAGAAGTGAGTAGGAAGGATTATCTGGGAATGGACAGTGAGAGGCCTTTCCGGCTGGTGAGGGCTGTGTACCTGGTGCAGCGACTCTAGTCTTCTCTGCAAGTCAGGTTCGTGCATTTTAAGCTGGTAAGAACAGAGCAGAAGTCACCTCAGGGAGAATCAGGCTATGAACAAACCTAATGCCAGCCTATTGTGGGCAGCAAGATTGGACGTTGCCATCACATCATGCCTGCGCTCTCGTGGCATCTTTCTTGGGAGCAGTGAAGGTCTATTTCCCTGTGTCCTGTGGTGGGAACTGAGAAAGGACTTTTGTATTTAGGGCTGTGTGCATGGCATGCTGTTCCTAAGCAGTCGGTGGGCAGGGAAACCTGGTTTAAACCAGAGCCTCACCAGCTCCTGACATACTTGTATTCTTTGCCAGGCCACAGTAAACATAGGTGTGCAGAAGCATTTCCCATGGAAGCCAGGGAGCTTGGGAGCTCCACACCCACCTACCATCTCATCCCTGAGGCCAGCCCACCACCCAGGATGGAAGAAGATGTCGACTCACCACCTCAAAACTCCCTGGAAACTATGCAGCTGAAGAAGGAGATCTCCCTGCTGAATGGAGTCAGCCTGGTGGTGGGCAACATGATCGGCTCAGGGATCTTTGTCTCACCCAAGGGTGTGCTGGTATACGCTGCCTCCTATGGGCTGTCACTAGTCTTGTGGACCATTGGTGGGCTCTTCTCTGTTGTGGGTGCCCTTTGCTACGCAGAGCTGGGGACTACTATCACCAAGTCGGGGGCCAGCTATGCTTATATTCTCGAGGCTTTTGGAGGCTTCATTGCCTTCATCCGCCTGTGGGCCTCACTGCTCATTGTTGAGCCCACCAGTCAGGCCATCATCGCCATCACCTTCGCCAACTACATCATCCAGCCCTCCTTCCCCACCTGTGATCCCCCGTACCTGGCCTGCCGTCTCCTCGCTGCTGCTTGCGTATGTAAGTAGGGGTTGAGGGTGGGAGGATTGTGGGGGTTTGGGGTACTGTAATAATGGTACTTTGTCTTTGAGTAGCATATTGTACTATTTAGGGGGGAGGGAGGCGTTTTATCTTTTTAAAAACTTTTTTTTATATTTACTGGTGGGGTGGAAAGAAGGGCAGTTCAATTTCCTTTTTTTTTTTTTTTTTTTAAATTGAGACAGTTTCATTCTGTCACCCTGGGTAGAGTGCCGTGGCGTCAGCATAACTCACAGCAACCTCAAACTCCTGGGCTCAAGCGATCCTTCTGCCTCAGCCTCTTGAGTAGCTAGGACTACAGGCGTATGCCACGACGCTTGGCTAATTTTTCTATTTTTAGTAGAGATGGGGTCTTGCTCTTGCTCAGGCTGGTCTCAAAATCCTGACCTCAAGCAATCCTCCTGCCTCAGCCTCCCAGACTGCTCGGGTTACAGGGGTGAGCCACCCCCTGGCCTGGCCGCATTTTCTCTTGAGGAAGTAATTTCATCAGAGTCATTTGATCCTGAGAGACAAGTAAACATAAAGGATGGAGGTGGGAGAAGTTTGAATCTCTTCGTGGCTTTTGTTGTGTCACATTCTTCCTCTCTTGGCTGCCCCTGAGTTCTGTTCCCTGGTCTGTGTGACAAGTTGATACACGTCTCACATTTGTCCTGTCAGGTGTTTTGGTTGGAGTCAACATCACCAGTTGTAACTTAACCCAGAAAAAACCATAAGTATTGTAGCCTTTATTCTGCTGCTCAAAAAAAAAAAAAAAAAAAAAAAATGTTTTACCCCCAGCTTTTCATCTTAAAGCAGTTTAAAGGCATCTGTGAGAAAATAGGCTTCTCTAGACTGTGGGAGTCCTAAGGTGTTATACCTCAGGCCCTCAGGACCCCATCCTTCCTGCCACTGCCACTCTTTGTGGCCTGTTCTGAGCAGCAGGCACCACACCAAAATGGCTTTTTCCTACTGCTGTTTCAGATTTCTTTACACTGACTTTGTAAACAAGCTCTGCCTGCAGCTGGTGAGAGGAAGGTGGCTCCCACCCCATATTTGAGTTTCTAATGATAGAACCTGAGAGATCCCAGTGCATCCCGCTTTATTTTCCTTTTTCTCTTATGGAGTAGTAAGGAGAAGATTGCCGTGACTTTAGCAAGCCTTGCAGAACCAGCGTGTAGCTGAGAAACGGCCCAGAATTTCCTGTGTTTCTTAGCACCGTGCTGCCAGAAGCACTTAATTACACTCTGTTCTTTCTGTATCTCTGTTTGCAAAAGCTTTGGCAGCATATATAGTTTACCCACAGTGTTTAAAATAGATTGAGAGTACCTTGCAGTTAGCATTAAAGGACTGTACAATACCCATGCCTCCTAACTTGAAGGAATTTGTTAAAGACAAACCATAAGGGAACCCCTCTGTATTTATTGGGACAGTGAAGGGGAATGGATAGCCCTGGGAGGAGGGAAGATGGGTACTTGGCTATGTGTCTGACAGGATTCAGTCAGGGAGACTCTGGCCTGACTGAGCTCTTTAAAAAAGGGATAATTTTGTTGACTGAGCTTGGTGGCTCAGGCCTGTAATCCTAGCACTTTTGGTGGCTGAGATGGGAGGATTGTTTGAGGCTAGGAGTTTGAGACCAGCCTGAACAAGAGTGAGACCTTGTCTCTACAAAAAATAGAAAAATTAGCCAGATGTGGTAGCTTGAGCCTGTGGTCTTAGCTACTCAGGAGGCTGAGGCAGGAGGATTGCTTGAGCCCAGGAGTTTGAGGTTGCAGTGAGCTATGATGACTGCCACTGCACTCTAGCCTGGGTGAGAGAGCAAGACCCTGTCTAAAAA